GGACCCAAAAAAAAAAAAATTGATATATATATATATTTGTATCAACTGTCGCATATTTTGCAGGTAGTACTTAAGCTAATTAGTAGACGACAATATTATATGGTATATATACGTAGTGGATAAGTACACATACATATACATGTATGCATGTACATATGTATGGGTATTACGCTCTAGGGGCGCCTAGGTGTATGTTGCATCCGGGTTTAACTAGATAAGCTATACGTATTATGTAACTAATTAGTTGGTTTCTCGTTTAGTTTAGTTTAGTTTATCGTATATATCGTATATATTGTATGGGCTTGTTTTATTCTTGATGGTATTTTCATGTATACGTAATATATACTGTAATTGTTAAGGTAATAATTAGCATTAACTAAGTAGATGTAGAGTATATTACTTTAATGTAATGTTTACTTCAGAGTTAAGGATCATAATATTTGGAGCATAGATTAAATATTTATTATTTATCATATGGATCCCAAGTAAGTTAAACCATATGCTGAATTGACTTCAACTGTATGTGGAATTTACTCAAAAACTGACCAAAAAAGAAAAACAGAAAAGATCAGTCTAAGATGATCTTCAATAGATGAACTTGAGCTCTGGGTTTTTGATTTGGGTAATTGAAATGACAAATGAAAATTGTTAAAAAGCATATAAGTTGGCTTTGTATATATATATATATTTTCGCTCGATTTTCTATATTTAAATATATTGAGTAATTTGATTTTAAGGGGTTTGGTATTTTTTTTGAGTATCTTTTTGTATTTTTTGGTATTTTGGTGTTGTAAACAAATGGTGAGGAGTTAAAAAATGTGCTGGCTGTTATGTACTTAAATTATATAATGTATATCTAAAATATTACTTGTTTTTTTTTTGGTATTTTTGGTATTTTTGTTGATATTTTTTATAAGCAGGAGTTCTTTTTAGTTGTTGTTGTAAACTTTGTGTTCTGCCTAAAGGTTAGGTCTGTCTGAGTATTGTGCTTAGTTAAGGAGTTGAAGTTGTCTTAAGAGTTTGCGAGTAGAGTTAAGAGGTCGTTGGTCGTAAAGGTCATTGTTTATATCAAAGTAAATTGATAGATTGTTTGGTACATACTTGTATGTAAGTAAGCAGTATTATAGTTAGGTGTAAAACATGGTGTGTGTGTGTTGTGTGTGTGTGTGTGTTTGTGTGTGCGTGTGTGTGCTAGTTGGTTGGTTTGTTGTTTGTAATTGGTTTGTTGGCCGCTTTGTGGTTAACTTACCTATAAATAAGAAAAATATAAGTAAACCTAATTCCCGCATTGAGGCTTTCAGAGTTCGTCCTAATATTTGTAAACCCTTCGAATGCCTAGATAACTTAAATATTCGAAATACTCGAACTAATCGTATCACTCGTAATATTGCCAAGGACATAGCCTGATTCGATGACTTGTCCTAAAAATTTATAATTATTTATAGATTTGTAGATTGATGTATGCAAACAGATTCGGTTAAGTATTTCATTATGTGTGAGTATTTATATAGAAATATATTATATATGAGCAGTATATATAAACATATACATGTAAATAATAAGAAATGCACATATATATCGTATATAAGCATATATACATATATGTGCATATTTGATTATCTGCATATATCTATATATCAGTTTATGTATGCGTGTGTAAGACTGTGTGCAGCAGGTTTTCATTTGATTCGTGTCAAATAGTTGATTTTAGTTTCAGTTAGTTAGTAATATACAACAATAATTCGTACTGTTTTACGGATATCACAAGAGCACTAAGATAGGCATTTTATAGGTAAGTATCAAGTATATATATTACGTAGGCAGAAGCATTGCTATCAAATCATAAGCTGATTATATATATATATTGGATATATATATATATACTATATATATGCACATGTTCAATGTTTGTCGCAACTGATTTGATCACATCCATATATGTAAGTAGAATTTGTATTTAAGTAGAGAAATCATAAGTTGTAAAGCAGGCAATTTGTTTTTGTACTCATATAAACAAAAACAAAACAACGCGACAGGTTTTAGAATTTTTGGTAATTTTGTTGATTATCAAACAAATTAGTAATAATACAAATATTTTTTTGTTCATATACAATGTACATGTTTTGTAGCAGTAGGAGTGTGTGTGTGTGTGTGTGTGTGTGGGCGTGCGTGCGTGCGTGTGTGTGTGTGTGTGTGTGAGTGTGTGTGTGTGTGAGTGTAATTTAGCATTACAGTTTTGGCCAAACAAAAATCTCATACCTGTGGACTGACTGGCGCTTTTGGAAGATTTAACGTATCCTCCTCTTCGGCAACGACAGTCGCTAGTGTTATAAAGTACGGAATGATGGCGATTATGTCGATAACATTCATGACATCCCTGCAGAAATTTAATTTGTTCGGACATGCGAGGAACCTGCGCGGGCGCAACACAGAAATAAAAACAACGCGATATGACAGAAACACAAACAAGGAGAAACATAAAGAGAGAGAGAGAGAGAGAGAGAGAGAGAGAGAGAGAGAGAGAGAGAGAGAGAGAGAGAGAAAGAGAGAAAGTGAGGGAGAGAGAGAGAGAACATTTGAGCCAGAGACAAACAGAGCAAGTTAAAGAGTAATACAGTGAGAAGGAAAAAGCAAAAAAAAGAAAACGTACAAATATTGCATATATATATCAACATGGTCTTTCAATTATATAAGATTTATTACAAACTAGGCGTAATTGAATAATAAATAATAAAGCTAAATATATACCCCAAGGCTGCTAGAGTTTATAGCCTTTAATGTAAGCTATAAAGTTGAAGATTTTTATCGTTACATATTTACCAAATTATGTCTAAAGTCGAGTTTCAACTCCGAATCCAGTTTAACCCTGAGCTTGGCAGCAAAAACATATTTCGCTGATATTCTTTTATTTTAATCTCATAACTCCTTGCTTTATTTCCTCATAAATCTTTTTAAATTCTATGAATTTTGCAAGAATTTTTCTTGCATGATTTTTAAATTAAGTTCGCGGTCAACAACTCGAAAGGACTATCTACCAGGAGACTTGTTTCATACATTCCTGAACCCAGATTTAAATGATTCAAATATTTTTTTTAAATGCTTAAACTTTTAATAAGAAAATATATTTTTTTTTTTCCATACTTAATAAATTTGTGCCCCAAAATGGCTTCTACCAAATAAGGTTATGTTATTTGGCCCTCAAACTGTTTAATTTGAACCACTTTAGAAAAAGCAATAGCTTGATTCGGTTAGGGCATCTGATTTGATGAATGATTCAGCTCGTTCGATTCAAATGCGATTTGCAGCCTTCGGCTCAATTGAAATACTATGAACTGCCACTAAAGAAGGTTGATCTAGAACTAGGACTAAGAATGCGTTATATGAAACGTAAAAAACCTAAAGAGTTCAACTATGCGCGCTGCATGCAACAGCTGGTGCAGCGCCCCCTGGCGGTCAGATGGGCCTAAAAATCCTAACTGATTAAAGATGCCCCGCATAGACTTAGAAGCTAGAGCTTATATTGTAATATAAAGTATTAATGCTCATACCTGACAGTTAGTTCAAATGTAAACCAAATAATACATAACGTTTCTATAAGGAAGAAGGGATCTGTGATGTCAGGCACCTCGTCTTCCTCGATTTTTGTGCCATTTGTTGTTGTATTGAACACCTGAAAAGGAGAATTACAAATGAAAAGAAACAGAAAAGCATTTAAACAAATTAGATCACAGCTCTGTGTATATATCCATATATATATATATATATATATATATATATATACATAGTTTAGCTTGGATTGGACTTGGCCTTGGAGAAGTACGCACCTTGTAATGCTTAAATTCGGGTAATGTTTCTAGACAAAATATAACAATTGATAGCAATATAACAAATACACTAATTATGGCTACAACTCTGGCGGCTTGCGAGCTCTCTGGGTACTCAAAGAGCAACCAGACTTTTCTTTGTTTCTCATTATCCGGTAATGGTCTTTCTTCCTCTTTAATAAAGCCTTCATCCTCTCTGCATATAAAGATAATAGAAGATCAGGTGAGCTTATTTCAATTAATGTGCATGTGTGTGTCTGTGTGTGTGTGTGTGGAAGCTTTAAGTATCTTATAGATTTGTTTTCGTTTGGTTAGGCCCTAAGCAGCGATTTGGTTTGGCAGCCAATTGGGGAGCTAATCAAAATTAAGTGTTGACAATCGTTAATCGACATCGATAAATGGCAACTTAAAATCGATAACATGTGAAGATTAAGTAGAGTTCTATTGAAATGATATTTGGAATGAATCGAGAGTTAACTTTGATTCGTTGCACAAATTGTCGCCGGATGAATTCCTCTTTATTCTCTTTGGCATCTTCCTCTTTTGCAGCTGAGCCCCACTTGGTTTTGGGTCTCACGCTGGGGCCTGCACGGTCCGGGCACAGTGCCCCCCTTTTTCAGCCGTATGAACAAAATTTTAAGCTGGTGGTCAAGTGATTAACAAGTGATTCGCCAACGGCCTTCAGGTTTCATTCTCTCGTTCGTTCGATTGTCCATGTCGCTTACTGTATGTATGTGAGTACGCGTGTGTGGGTGGGTGTGTGTGTGTGTGTGTGTGTGTGTGTGTGTGTGTGTGTGTGTGTGTGTGTGTGTGTGTGTGTGTGTGTGTGTGTGTACTTCCTTTGTTTTGTGATAAATGCAATTCTCATGAAAACCGCAAAATATGTAAAACGTTCAATAAATGCCGACATAAGTCGATTGAATGAATAACCACAAGTCAATAGCTATGTCCATAAAACCAATAACAAGAAGAACAAAAAGAGTGGTATGTGCCTGTGCCTCTGCCTGTGTGGGTGTGTGTGTGTGTGTGTGTCTGTGTTTGTCTGTGTGTTTTAACTATTTGCTCATTCATACAATGCCTGAAGTATGAACACAATATTGTGGCTGCCAATTGAATAAAGCCATAGGAATTGGGTAATCGGAATTTACGTAGCTGAGTGAAGGGCAAAGCAGTCGAAGGGGAATTCGAGTTTCATAATCCAGCTGCCATGTTTTATGTTTTCCCCCATATTTCACTCCTCTTCCACAATGACTAAGGGTTTTAGGTAAGTGAACAGGGGGCTAACAATTTGTTAAGGCCAGTTTATTCAAGTAAAATGTTCCACACGTAATGTTTCAGGTCTTACATTTTGCCTGCTCTTAAGCAATTGAAACGACCCAACGAAAAGGGCTGTTGGACAAAGAGTTTGACAAGCAAGACAATTGAATTGTTTCTCTTCCACGTTCCGCTTGTTTGCATAACGTTTTACCATAAGGCATTTAGATATTTTTGAGTGGAAAATGAAATTAATTTGCGAGTTGTTGCTTCATGTTTCATATTCCACTTACAAAGTTATTATATTCCAAATCCCATGCTTATTTTGCAATGTTTCATTTTACATGTTCCGTGATCCATTTAACGCTCCTCATATTGTACAAACATGTTTCATAAGCCATGTTCCATATTTTATATACCATAATAATATCGTGTATGCCATGTCTCATTTCCCATTTCCAAAGTCATGTTCCATATGCAATGTCTTCAGACCAATGTTTTATAACCATATTGAATATGCAATGTGATATATGCTATGTTGCGTATGTCATGTTCCATGTATCATATTTCATATTTTATATACCATATGCAATGTCGTATATGTCATGTTTCATATGCCATATTTTGTATACAATGTTCTAAGTACCATGTTCCACATCCATATACCATGTTTCATATTTTACATACATACAATTAAAGATGTCTTCTGTGCTGTGTTTCATTTCTCATATTCCAACTGCCATTTCATTGGCACCATTCTCTTTACACCATGTTTCATATGTCGTGTTTCACATACCGAATTTGACATGCCATGTTCCATATGCCACATTTCATTAGGCGTGTTTCATGCTGATGCCATATTCCACAACCCAAGCTTAATATTGCAAGTTCCACAGGTCTGTTGCTTACGCAATAGTTTCAAAATGAAATGAGTTACTAAAGGAACCGATTCGCTTGAACTAGTTCATGTGCAAAAGAAGTAAAATCAAAGAAGGTCACGAACACTTCTTCAGAATGATAGCGAATACTTTACAACTACAACTTATGTTTATGTGCTAACTAAAGTGCTATATTGGTTACATAACATATCTGTGTGTCTGTGTGTGTGAGTGTGTGTGTGAGTTTGCGTGTGTTTTGCGTTTGTGTCAGGTGTCTTGGTCAGGTGTCTACGTGCCGTGTTGCATGCCTTGTGGATTGGGAGCTTGGTTCAACAATTTGCTGCCGCCAATAAGCAAAAACCAATTCGCGCTTTGCTGCATTTCAATTTCGGTAAGTATTTTTTTGTTACATTTTTGTGTAGTTTTTGGAATTTTGTGTTTTTTTTGTTTTTTTTTTTTTTTGGTAATAATTTGTGGGGCAACAGGCTTACCTGAATTTATTAATTGCTTGATCACCTAATTCATAAAATTTTATTTCTTCACTAAATACGTCTAAAGGGACATTGACCGGTCTCCGTAGTCGGCCACCTGTGAAGAAACGGTAAGCGCATCGTAATTGCAGGTGAGCGTGTGCATGTGTGTGCGTGTGTGTGTATTTGAGAGCATGTGTTTGGCATGTGGTTAGGGCGGGTTGGGGTCAGAGAAGAGAAGAGTAAAAGTGGAAAAAACATTAGCAAATTATTCGTTTCGTTTTGATGCGAATAGAGTTCTCTGTGAATGGCACTCACTTGGCATTCATTTGGAAATATGCTTACCACTCTGATAATAGTATAAAATCGCATCGAAGCTCGGACGACTACGGTCAAAAAAATATTCATTTCTAAGCGGGTCAAAGTACCGTAATCTCCGAGCTGGATCCCCAAGCAGTGTGTCCGGGAATTGATTTAGCGTACGCAGTTGTGTCTCAAACCTTAACCCGCTTACCTAATGAATATATATATGGAAAAGCATTAATAATCACACACATTTATATTTTTTTTCATAATCAAAATCGAATATTTACATTTATAACGACTCTCTCGCAGAAATCATGATCGTGAGGAATGGGTTCAAAGTGTTGTGGTCCGCCACCAAAGCCATGACCAGCCCCCCCTTCTTCGTCTTGACTGCTCAATTTGGGCAAAGACCTGTAATAAAATAAAACAAATCAATACAAATACAACATTAATAACAAGTTCAGCTTTAGCATAAAGCACAAACTTTATTTAAAGGCAGTATTTCAAAATACTTTTGAGCACTTTTGAGATCTCAGCATATCTTCAGCTGCTTTTATATTATCCCAAATAAACATTGTTCTTTTAAGCATTTGACATTTCAAAAACTTGGTAAAACAAAGTTAAACATTTTGTTTAAGAATGTGGCACAAAGAGAGTAGATAATAACAATGTGAGCATGTTAATAAAAAGAAATACTAAAAGTATGAAATATAGGGAGAGTGCGAGCACGGCCAGAGTATTCATTAAGAATGTGACAACAAAGCGGAATTCGTAAATCTAGGCGCTCTTGAAAAGGCAACAGGAAGAAAGCCAGAGAAAGAATTGTTTTTCTTCTGCCCATCACACTCTCTTTTGCTCGCGAATCAACAAAGAAGTGTAACTATTCGGACAGACGAACCAATATACCCGTTAGTACTTTGTAATCTAGTAAAAATTGAATAAATCCTTGTTCCTCACAACTTTGTGCGTGGTGGCAACCCCAAAAAGTTCAAACTAAGGTTGCCACAGTTAAGCAAAATATGTGACGCATATTTTACTGTTATTTCCCGTTAACCACAGTTGCCAGTCGCATATTCTACAGTTATTGTGATTACTGGCAACCCCAAAAAGTTCAACCACAGTTGTCACAAAATAACAAAAATATCTCGCACATTTAACTTTTATTGCAAGTGCTGGCAGCCCCAACAAAAAACAACCGGAGTTGCCACAGTTTAACCAAAAATAGGTCGTTCTCGTTCTCGTTCTCGTATTATTGTAGTCGAGCTCCCAACTGACAAAAGTTTCGCAGGGTATTTCGGTTGGCAGACGACCTCATTGCGCTCGACTGTCATAAATTAGAATTTGTTTTAAATAAATTGTTGATGGAATTAAATATGCAGGAGATGCATTATGCAGCAAGCAAATCAAATGCTGCGCTCTAATCGATATTTGATATTTGGTATCTTTTATATACCAAGACTTAGTGTTTAGTATTTTGCATTGAGCACTTAAATATATATAAAGGTTGTGTGGCAAGCCGCATGTGGCATAGAAGCCTCCATTCAAAAACCATTTAATGCGCATTCAACTGGCGGCAAATAGCAATACTTTTTTGGCCCAATGCCCTGCCACACGCCACACATCGTAGCAATCGCAGTTCGGAGTCGCCCCCGCGGCTCTACAGGAAGGCAATAAATGTTTACACATGTAATTGAAATTTTATTACAATCACATAGATACACACACAGACACACACACACAGACACCCACGTGAGTGAGTGTGAGGCGTTGCATGTGAGGAGTCGCCATCGCTGGCAGAGTGCCCAAAATGACAGCCAAAAGCATTTTATGCAGCGTTTGGCCCTTATCGCTGATGTTGCCAACAATGTGCAGCTGCTTTTTTTCTCTCTTCATTTTTTTCCCGTTCGAATACCCTGCACACTTTGAAGGATTGTCTCTGCTGCAGAAGACTTTGAAAAGAACCTGGTCTGAAGGTTTCTCTCTAAACCTTAGACTTAGACGAGCTTAGAAGTTGTTCAGTTTGCTTTTTGAAAACAATCAGAGAGCGGAAGAGCTAAGCTAATTGTGAATATTACATCGCTTTTTTATCTTTCCAAGCGATAGTTGGGCGATAGCACAGCGTCTTAGGTTAAGTGTTGGCTTCTTTTCAAGCCATATTCTGGCGTGTGGACAGCGTGAATATGTTTCTCGACAGGAGCTTTGCTCGGTACGCCAAAGATGAAATACATTCGTAGCTAAATTTCTACGCAAATCTTTTATACAGATTCTGTATTTCCGACTGATTATTCCCATAGAAGCCATATGATATTGTAGTCTGATATGATAAGACTCTGCGACGAAATTTAAGCTCATACTGGCCAAGCTAGATAAAGATACGAGCTTCTTAACAAGCAAAAAAGGTTTTTCATATAGAACTTAATTCGCAGCCGATCCCATCTATGACAGCTATTCAATATAGTGCTCGGATCTGGCTTATTCCAAAACAAAAACTTTAGCAACAGCAAGACGTAGCTCTGCAAGGTTTAAAGACCAAAGGCTTACAACTGTAAGATAAGTTTGTGTAGCAACAGACATATCAAACTGGCTTTAAAATTAAATCGGGAATAAATTATAGACTTATGTATGAACTATATAGACTGTGTGTAGCTGAGAGATAAACAAAACGTGTCGATAATTCGATGCAGAGCTTCTGCCTTTAGGTTTGGTTTGTGAAACTGGCTTTCCACATGGTTAAATAATTCAAGAATGTATATATATATACATATATATACGCATTAACACTTAAAAGGGTCACGTATGCCTTTGGGTTTTGATAATTGAATTTGAGGAAGGAATATTTAAATAACAAATAAATGACAGGGCATTTGCCAGTCGAGCATTCGAGTCTGTTTCTTAGCTGTCGAGGCGTTGTTGCATGGCATGTTGCCTACTTTTTGGCGCCCGGCATTTAATTAAGCGTGTAAGTGCACGGCAGGCGGGCCAAAAAATCCAAGCAAGCCCGCAGCCTGCCAAAGCGCCCAAGCCCCACATTCCTCCCATCTCTCCCAGCCATGCTACCCGAGCGGCCTGTCTTAATATTTTTTGGCCACATAATTGCATATTTGATGACGCGCATAGGCACACGGTTCGAGCTGGGGGGCTTACTTTATTTGTGGGCGTGCTGGGGGCGGGGCCACGAAATGCATGTGCGCTTAATTGAAAAGCTAAGCGGAGGCGAATTGTTGGCCTAACGCAACGTGAACTGGGCCTTCAGTCGAGCGAATGCGACTCAATTGACCGAACGCCGCGGCCATGTTGCATGCGACACGAGCGTTGCATGACGTCAGCGTCCGTCTAACGAGTATGCCTTTTATGTTACCAGAAGCGGAATCTGTGCATATGGATAATTAAACATGGGCGACAGTGGTCAGGCACCCACACACACACACACACACACACACCAGCTCGCACACACACGAAATGTCAACAAACAATTGAAGTTTTATGCAAAACGCCAACACAAAACAACTTGGCGGCAGCTGTGGCTATGTGTGTGCGTGTGCCTGTGTGTGCTCAGGTTGAGTATTCATTCACACACACACTCCTTTACACACACAAACACACACACACACCAACAATGCGGCCTGTCTTTGTGTGTTTATCCATGCAAATTGTGAACTGCAGCTGTTGCGCTCTCACTCTAGCACACTAGACATACTATGTGTGTGTGTGTGTGTGTGTGTGTGTGTGTGTGTGTGTGTGTGTGTGTGTGTGTGTGTGTGTGTGTGTAGGTGTGTGTATATGGGTCAGCGGCACGGCTGTGACGTCATTGTGCAAGCATTGTGCCACACCGTTTGTCGACCTATTTACAAGCCGGGCTAACACTTCCACTTGCGCTTCCACTTCCACTCGCCATCGCCGTTTGCTTTTGTACGCCGATTCGCAATTCGGATTCGGATTCGCATTCGGATTGGGATTCGGTTTCGGTTTCGGATTCGGATTCGCAGCTGCACTTCCGGTTGTGGTAGTCATTGCATAAGCTGCTGCTGAAGTTCAATGCGATGCCAAAGCCAAAAAGTCAAAAGCAGGTCGCAGCTCATAAATCTTGTGGCCAGCATCTTGCCCGCTAAGGAGTACCGCCCAACGCCCTGCTCCCCACACACCCCGCTCAAACACCTTCACTCTCCCTCTCACTCTCTTTCTCTATAGGTCGCTGTCTCTCTCTGTATGTGTCTGTGTGTGTGTGTGCTCTTGTCTGTGCATGCCGGTCAAGGCAACTAGAGATATCTGCTCTCGCACTCGCAGTCTGTCCTCAAACACAGTTGCCCCGCCGCCGCCCTCTGCTATCGCTAACCCCCCCCTCAACAGCCTGGTTCGACACGTTTATATTGCAGTTGACTCTATTTTTAGCCCATGTCTTCGCAGAGCATATACATTGTGCATGATGTGCACATTTCTGATGCTGCGGCACGTTCTGTTTCCGTTTCCTTCGCCTCCTTTTATTTGTCTGCCTCTCTACTCCTCCCTCTACCAATCTTTCTGCCTTGCTTTCGCTGCTGTGGGGCCAATTAATGGCGAAAAATTAAATGCAAATGCAGCAGCAGCAACAGCAGCAGCTGCAGCAGCTGCAGAGAATGCTGCGACAGTCGCGAGCCAAATACGTGACATCAATTTGGACAACTTGGCCCCAAGAGCCTTGAACTGGCGCATCTACTTAATCAAGTGCGAGTGCGAGTGTGTGCGCCTGTCCGTGTGTGTGTGACTGTATGTATGTGTGTGTGTGTGTGCCTGCCCGTGTGTGTGTGTGTCTGTGTGCAGTTAATCAAAATCGCTGACAATAAAAACTGCTGCAAATGGCAATCATTGAAGAAGAAGATAAATCTATTGCATACCCCCAGGGGCAGGCAGTGAAAATATCATAATCTCAAGATATTAAATAGTATAACAGAAGCAGTTTCTTAAATTTCTATAAAATAAGCAATTGCTTTTCGATTTTGCTTTCGAATTCGAAAGTAAAATATGCGTTGGTTCGATGTGGCTCGTGATTTTTCACATCTGTAAGCTTGGGTTTGGTTTCAATTGATTCACAATAGTACAACTTTGTTTGTCAAATTTCTTTTGATTTTTTATCCATTTGAGATGTATCAAATGTGATTGGCGTTTCTTTTAATTTGCGATAGATTTATTCGACAGTTGAACGTTCTGAATGCACTGAAGTTCTGAGGCAAAAGCGACCATCTGCGACCCCATGAAATATGTCTATATATTCTTTATAGGTGTGAGCAGCTGAGACATTCAGCCATGTTCGTCTGTCCAGCTAGATAATTGAGTTTAAAAACATTTATCATTGTCATTCTGCCCTAATTTTCAATATACTTGGTTTTCTTTAAAGCATAACTAGATAATTACAAGAACGAGATAAATAAATAGAC